GGGCAGCTGGAGGTCCCAGGTCCTGCACGGAACTCCTCTTGCAGGCCTTGCAAAGAAACCCCACCCTGAATGGCACCGTGATGTTGCTGGGGGAAGAGGCCCTGTGGCAGGAGGGGCACTTGTCTCTTCCAAAGGGGGCGGAGGGGGGAACATGAGGCAGCCAGGCCTCCTCCCCCTCCCACAGGACTGATGGGAGAGAACGTTACTGCCGTTTGCAGCCCCCTCCTCCCTTTTAGCCAGCTTGCGGCCCACATTGCTGGAGAGCTGATGGAAACGCTCCAGAAGCTGCCCCTTCCCCCTCCCCAGCAGAAGTATGCAAGGCGCAGGGTGGGGTTGCACCCCAGGGGCATGCATTGTCCTCCTTGCGCACTGAAGCACTTGTGTCTTGTCCTCCCCTGCGGCAGACCGGCAGGTCGCTTCTCCCAGGCACGGTGGGATGCTTCCGCCCCAGGCAGGCGGCCGAGACAAACCAGCCGTGGCAGAAATAGCAGCTGGAGGCTGCGAGCTGCCCGAGCCTCAAGCAGAGCCAATGCAGCCAGCCTCCAGCCGAGGGTTGGGAAAGCTCACGGTGCAATTAGTGGGTTTTGCCTGAAGTCACAGCAGGCACAGCACCCCATGCAGCGGCTGAAAACAGCTGGCCAGAGGTTAGGCGGGGAGCCAAGGCCGAGCAGACAGGACAGTACCCCAAGCTCTCGGCGTGACTGTGCGTCCCAGAGGTGACGTCAGGAGGGGGCAGGTTGGGCAGGGCATCCATCTGGAGGATGTAAGAGGAGGTGGTGTGGTGGTACAGGATGGGGAGCGCGTGGCAAGCGGGAGCAGAAGGCGCTCCGTGGCTGGCAGCGGAGGAGTGAGGAGGAGCGGCCTGGACGTCGATGCTGCTGCAGCTGGTGAGGCTGGGCATTCGGCGCAGAGTGACCCTGCCAGGCAGGTAATGCACCAGTGGTCCCGATTCACCCTGGCTGGGGGCCTGCTGGTGAGACTCTACCAACCTCTGAGATCCCAAGGAATGCTGGGGGTCCACCAGGCGCTGGCGCACGACGCCGCTCGGCAAGGTGGGAGCTGGAGCGAGAGAAGGGAAACGGGGCACGGTTAGGGGGGGGGTGACCAGGCGGGGCTCGCCACAAGGCCTCCCATCGCCGTCCAAGGCCGTCCTCAGGAAGCTTCCTTCATTTCCTCCCGAGGCTTCGTGCCCAGAGAGGCTCTCCCGCTCTCCCCCTCGGGTCTCCCCATTTCCTCTCCCCCCGCAACCCTTTTCCAAGGTCAGGCTGAAGCACATGAAGAGGCTTGGCTGCAACCCAGGTTCCCATCACCTAGCGGCACCAGCCCCCTCGGGGCAGCCCCGCAGGGTCCCGGGGCGGTGCCCAAGACTGCTGGCTGGGCCCGAAGGGGCATGCAGACAGGACGCGGGTTAACTGGTGCATGAAAGAGACGAGGAGTCAGGACCCTGCTGGGAACTGAAGAACCGGGAAGCGGCGCCGGCTGGGAGGACCCCCGCCCGCCCCGCCCCTCTCCCATCCAGAGTGCCCCTCCCAACTGCCTTTCTCCTGAGGGGAGAAGCATCCGGCCCTGCCCCTCTTCCCTTGAGAACTGGCTCTGGGCAATTTTGAGTGGAAAAATCCTCCGGCCAGAAGCAGCCCAGCCCCAGGGCCCGTCGGCTGCTGCCACCCCCCGCCCCGCCGGCCCCGGGAGGAAAGATGCTTTCCCTGCGCTGGACGTGGCGCCTGCTCTCACGCAGAGCATCCCAAGTAACTTTAGGAAGCCAGCCGCGTCCTCCGCGTTTCGCCTCAAACCGCTCCGGGGGGGCAAGTCAACTTCCTCCGTCCATCCATCCTCTGGGCCCTGGGGAGCTGCCCCTCACGGGCAGAGCAGGCTGGCTTCCTGGCAGCTGGGCAGGGAGGGGACACGGGGAGGCTTCCCAAGCAAGAGAGCAGTTGCTCCCCCTTAAAGCCGACTCCCCTTAGAGACCCGCAGGGGCAGCCCGGGAGCCAGCCAGCCTCGGTCAGCCAAGCGCGGAAGGCCAGGGCGAGGGGGCGCTCCCAGCAATGCCACCTGCTCCTCTGCCCGCTTGCCTGCATCCCCTGGAGAAGAAAGGGCAAGGAAGCCAAGGAGAGGGGCGGTCCGGCCACTTCCTCCCCCTGCCCGGCCCTGGCAAAGAAAAGAAGGGCGAACGCAGGCGCCTAGCCCAGGAAGGCAGCCCCCCGCCTCGCTTCTGCCCTGTTTCGGTCCTTCGGTTCTTCGTTCCAACAGGCACTGCCCTCCTGGAAGGGGTTAGTAGCGATGCCAGACAGGGCAGAGGGGTGAGAATTAGCTGCTATGCTTAAAATGAAAACCGCCCGGAGGGGTCAGGAAGAGAATGGGTGCTCGGCTGTCTCTGCCTGCTGAGTTTAGTCTGATGGGTGAAAGCGAATCCAAGATAATAGTTCTCAAACCGGGGTATTTCCAGAAGGACTGATCCTCCGAGCAGAGAGATGATCGGTCACTGTACTTGTGCCCCAAAAGCAAGGCGACGTCTGGCGTTAGCCAACGAGAGGCGGGAAGAGAGAAAGCGTCATTGGCATCGGCATTTTGGACATTCGTGGGGGCTACCCAGGACTCGTCGGCAGCCAGTTCCCCCTCACTGGCGTCTCTGGGGAGTGCCTGCCCCTGCCCTTGCCCCCCGCCCGGACTCACTAGAGAAAGGCGGGCCCTCCCAGCTCAGGACCTCAGCAAGGGCTTTCCTCTCTGCCCCCTCGGCTTCTTGGAGGCCCTTCCCGCCCCCTTTCCCAGGGCAGATCTCAAGGGCATGCCACCTCGGCTTGGCTTCTGGAGCCAAGGTTAAGACGCCTTCGGGAGCCTCGCCTACACCCCAAGAAGCCCGTAAGTCCGAACTCACAGCCACCTCCCCTCCGTGTCAAATGCACCGGATACTGAGGAAAGCACTCTCTGAATGCTCAGAGGCACTGCTAGGGTGATCTAAGCCCTGCTAATTCACGGCTTTTCTTGAGAAAGCAAGAGTTCTGCAGAAGAAGTAGACA